ATTATACGAGGCACTACATACAGTAGCGGTCAAAAGTCTTCGCCGAAATTGTTTTTCGACTGTAACTTTTTTCCGCTGAATCAAATCAATTCAAATTTTAATATGTTTTAGAGATAGTCCTACTTCACTTAAACGGCATATTTGTTTCGGATTGAGAAAGAATTAAGAATGGAAAAAATCATTTCACTAGAAATTCTCGCGTATGAGCAAATTCCAAGTAGGTTTCAAATTACTCTAGCAAGCTTACAATTCAACAAAACAATCTTACGCATGATGAATAACACTGGGCAGGTCCAATACTTTGTTAATGATCTTCTGGGTTCGCTGAAATACTAACAAGGCCTAAGTAAGGAATCAGTCATTGAATGCACTGTCTACTAGGGCAGCTTCCTCCACTTCTCTTGAAATTTGACGAGTTTCTCGCCCATATATTCCCGGCTCTTATTTCAGCAAGCCCGAAGGGGATACAAATATTTTCGGCGACCTTCGGGCTTGCTGTATACGACCTTTGGGTGGGGTATCCCGATGACACTCGGGGCTTGTTGTATACGACCCCAGTACTACATTTGTGGCCTAGGATGTATCAGAGAGTTATTCCGTTTTGAAATAAGGCAAGAGGTCGCGACAAAAGCAGGCAAGAAGAGGCGATAAAAGCAGGGCGCTAAAAAAAGTAACGTTTTTCTTGTGAGTTCGGCCGTGGTGGTGAGACGGGGTACTGCGAGAAGGGGATAATCGTGACAGAGATGGAGTTGAAAGAAAGATTGATAACAATGGCAGCGCTCGCAACTGTCCAGGTGAGCAGTGAGCACCTTTATCGGTATTCTCGAGTCGCATACTACTATCCCTGTGATTTAAAGTCAAGGACAGGTTCCGTTCGAAAATTTGATGCCGACCCATTCCTTCGGGTGAAGCTGATCACCAATGATCAGCAATGAATCTGAACGCAATTTTGGTAGTGTGGTCGGTCATCACCCTGCAAATGTTGACTTGGTTTGGGAAAGGTAAATGTTCAATAAATGACATTTGTAGGGAGCTGCAATAATTTGCAGTCTCTGTTCTTCCTATCATTCTCTCTTTTCCTTCTGAAATTCAAGGAGTTTCAATGCGATGTGTCCAGAAGATTTGGAGAGATTCAAAGACACCGGGTCTGCCGAAGTCAAAAAACATCAAGGAGCAGCAAGAGTGACTCCTGAAACATTGTGCGGCTCGCAAGGAGTGACCCGCATCTCACTGCAGCAGACATTCTCCGTATCGACGCCCGAGGGTTCAAACCCATCCGCAGGCACCGTGCGACGTCGTCTGAGAGAGGCTGGCCTCTTTGGACGTCGCCCTGTAAAGAAACCGCTAATTTCCACTAAGAACCGCAAGGCGAGTCTCGAATGGGCTCATGCTGGACAAGAGCTGGACTGTGCAGTAGTGGCGAAAGTAACCTGGAGTGACCAGTCGAAGTTTTTTACTGTTCGGGACGGATGGAATAAAGTTTGTGCGACGTCCTCGGTACCAGATACCATCCAAGGTACCAGCTGCCGACTGTGAAGAGTGGAGGGGGTGCGGTGATGGTGCACGGCAGCTTCTGTGGCAAGGGGGTTGGTCCCCTTCATCGGATCGAGGGTAACATGGATTCTAAAATGTACCTTAACATCTTGGAGACTGTCGTATATTTGCAGTACTGCCCGAAGTCCGTTCATTTTCCAACAGGACAATGACCCGAAGCACAAGTCGAAGCTGCTCACGAAGTGGTTTACGACAACAACGACCCTTTGCTGCCGTGGCCATCGCAGTCCCCGACTTGAATCCTATCTAACATCTATGGCATGAACTCGAGCGTCAAGTTAAAGGCCTCACGGCTCGCAACGAGCACGAGAAGTTCCTTCTACTGAAGGCCGCATGGGAAAATATCCCCCAGGAGATCGACAAGCTCATCGAGTCTATGCCACGCAGATGTCATCGATGACAAAGGTTTTGCAACAAAGCACTGAAGTAGCATTTGTTATATTTGTTATTACAAAGACTGTTGTGTTGCTAATATAAAAATTCCAGATGAATTGAAGTTCGTTCAAGTAAGATGGTTTTTGACCAAAATAGTTTAAAAAATGCTGACATATTTGCCGCATCACTCAGACAACTGAAAACATGCTCGCTCATCGCACTTAGTTGCATGCATTAAGCTTCAAGAACCAGAGCGACCGCATGTGTTCGGAGTGAAAACGAATACTTCACTGCTCTTATATGGTTGTAGTTGAGCATTATCGGGTGTATTTCAGACGCAACTACCTCACTGTGATCACCATTCCGTTTCGTTTCATATTATCGAAATTTAAACTGCTCTTTGTTATTGCTTTTTATTCGTTGTTTGGAGCGTGGCTGTTCATGACACTTGAGGTGAATGTGTTTCCTCTTTTTTACTGAACACATCACTCAGACCAACCAGTTTCCGCACTTCAGGTACCAACTGATCTCGCCGCTAAACAGGATGCTTATCATGCCCGTCTCATAGCCAGAGAAATAATGATCTTAAAGTGACTTTTCGTATTTTCTCTTAATTTCGAAGCCTTGATGAATTGTACATAATTGTACATTTTGCTCTACAGTGCGCTTTTTTAGTCTGCGGTCAATTCATCAGAACAACAAAGAAGACCGTGAGGAAAGGTGGAAGGAGTCGATTCTTACTTTCGAAAACGATCTCGGTCTAGCCTCCCATATGCAGAACACAGCCGCTGCCAGCATGATCCATGCAACGGTAGCTGAAAAGCATATTGTACAAGTGAAAGCAAAACATGGGAAGAAACTAAATGGCCTCCCATATCTTCTGTATTACACATCTTCTGTATTATTATGCAAATCTTCCGCTAACATGCTGTATGGGTTTGCATGTAACCTCTGCTCCGGAAAACCAGGAGCGCATTAAGTGCAGGCCACACACCACAAGAGACGACGCCCTCCAAGTAAGTCTAGTTGTTATTCATAGGATTGGTGAGATTGGCAAATGAGAGTTGTAATTAGTAACAACTGATGCAATACAAATGTAACACACTAATCGTTGCATTGGCAGAAAAATTTACATTTTGTGGAGGCCGTCGTCACTTGTGGTGTGATCTGCACTCAGCGCTCTTCTCGTTTTCTGAACGGGAGTGTATATGTGTGTTGTACGTCGATAAGGTTCGGACAACATAATGAATCGGACAGTATAATACAAATTCATCACGTCTTTCAGCGGATTTGTCTGCAATTGCATGCAAATAGTCTGAACCGACTACAGTGATTCAAATAAGCCCAGTCGTGACAGTTAGACAGATTATTTGCAACTGCATTAGTGTAATAATCTCACGACCAAAAAAGACAATTAGTCCGCAATTACACCAAATATATGAAACTATTCGGACATTGGGAGTTTATTAATGTATTTCAACTGTTTTTTTCTCATTCTACATTGTAGTTCATTGTCTTTTTTCCAATCGCGGTTAGTAGCATTTACTCAAACTCATTCTTATACAGCATCAGTTGTTACTTGCACATTAGATACCTTGATAACTCATCATTCATGACTATTGTTTGTAGTACCACGACAGACTCTTGAATTTGAAACGACGTAATACAATTATACTTATTTAGTCGATGATAAGTACAATCTACTGGATCTATTTTGCAGCTTGCGTTTAAATACGAGGTATATGTTTAATAGTGGACGTTTTTGAAGAACACTAACAAGCTACAACTTAGCAAATGGATACAATATTATAAGATGTCCACTCCGCTAACAGGTAACATATCTACTCAATTCACTTGTCAAGTATGTATTTATCAACTACATAACTTATTCGTTAGTTATAAGTTTGGTACCTCACATCACTCATAACCTTCTTTGTTAGACTTCCTTTGATGG